TATAATGTTTTTACTTACATTTTTTAAAAAGTTTTGAATAATAATTCCAAACAACCCCCCCAAAAATAAAACCCCAAACACACACACACACACACACACACACACACACACACACACACACACAAAACGAGAAACAAAGCAGGTCTACACGATATGATATTTATGAATGATTGCCAAACATATTATTATACTTATGAATTTGATTAGATAAGGAATTATGTAGGGCAAAATATACTTTTGAAGCCGACTAAACCTTGTAGAAATGGTCAATTATAGGATCTTTAAGCAGAATCAAATTCAACAGTTAAGCACAAGCGGTTGTACGCGCCAATTGAGAAAGACGAACGAGTAACGACACTACCAGACCAAGGGCACCGCTTTCACAGCAGGCAAATTCCAGTCGTGTCATCATTGGGTATACACCAGAGTGGAATACACCACGGAGTAACGGTCTTTGGCGTCACGACCGACTGAAGAAGTTGCGAGTTACTTCCCATGTGTTTTTCCTACTTCCTAAAATAGCGCAGGATCAGCCCCCCCCCCCCCAAAAAAAAAACACACAACAGTTTCCTGTTCTTTCTCGGTCCTTGCTCGCCGGTCAAAGATTTTACGGTACAGGCAAGTCAGATAACTGTGTTTGTTCATTTGTCTCACTGTCGTGTTATTGTGGTTGCTGGTCACTGGTCATTTTTATTTCTATTTTTTAATGAAAGGTTTGTAGAATGCACATTGAAATGGTAAAAGTTGTGTCTTGTGTCGTTGTTTAGAATCTAATCTAGATCTAGACTAGATTCTAGACTTCTTATATTTCGTTTTCTTATCTAGATCTAGATCTAGATCTAGATTCTACAAGTGTTCGATCTATAATGACAGTGACGTGAAAAGTTCACGTTGGAATGAATAGTAACTAATAGTAGATCTAGATTTAGATATATAGATTTCTAGATCTAGATATAGATTCTAGATCTAGATATGATGTATACACATTGTCCTCCGATGATCTGGTCCCAGATCATGACCAAGCAAGGAACTTAGAACTATTGGAGCCTCCTCTCTCTCTTCGCGGCGCCACGAGCAGTAC